CTAACCGCTATAATCTAATCTATCCTGGCCTACAGTTAACCGCGGTTAAGAGATTGATTAATCTTAACCTAACCTAACCGGGGGTCGGTTAAGGATTTTTATACCTTAACTAACCGACCCCGGTTAGGTTAGGTTATGGCTAGGTTACAGCGGTTAGGTTATGCCACTCTAATATAGATTATCAAGCTGATAAATCTAATAAATCAGTATTTTCTCTTATGGATTATCAAGGGTCTTAGTTGAGATAGGATATAAGAAAAGATTTACTCGGCTATAAATACACACCCGGAGTTGTTGATAAGGAATATTAAATTAACACATCAACGCAGAGATATTAGGTTTTTTTGGCCTTGAGCAATTGTACAGACCTTACAACACATATCTCAATTTCAGAATAAGATTCAGGTATTGTGGTGGTATATAGGAGCTTGAATAGCTTCAAATTTATCGTTTAGGTGTGATTTATCGTTTGGGTGAGGCAGCCCCACCTAATATGTCATGGCTCGGGAGCCCCTGCAGGTGTAAGCTGCGGTTAGTGATTTGGCCCAGTCTTTGAAGGATGCTGCGGATGATGTACTGGCCTGATTGTTGCACCGGTTGGGCGCAGGCTGTGATAGTAGCTTGATTGTCAGATAAAAACACAAAGTCGTCGGTGGCTGCATCTGTAGCTGTCGGTGTAGCTAATGCCAGTGCCATGCCGATTCCCACCAGCCGGACCCTGCCTTAAGACTTCAGGGTCGGTTAGTTATCCTGTGTATACTGTATGTGTCTCCCTACCAACTGGTCGATATAGGAATTCTCGCGTCTGGACCACGGCCAATGCGCTGATGCCTCCCTTGTAGCCGCTACTGTCAGTGTAGGCCTTTGTAGCAGTTTGGGGCAGATGGTTGTGTTGCTGAATCACCTCTTTAGTATTCGCGATAGTGATTTCTGGTGGCTCCCATTATGGGAGCACGTCTATTAGCTAGATCGTCTGCAAGTATAGTAGCTCTGGGCCCTTCCCGAGGACCTGGGCAACGCGCTCTGAAGTGGTTGGATTGTATCCTGTCTCCATACAGGCGTTGAATATGCCCGATGCTGGTAGTAAGAGATATTACTTATTTAAGTAAATATCAATATAACCGTATTGCACCTATCATACAATGACTAACCATATATTACTTCTGAGTTCGACTGCAACAATCAAGTAATTCAATAAAATATTGAAGGTCTGACTAAATTAAATAGTCTGTGTACTTCTATAAGCATTGTGCTGAGGTTTCTTGAGTTTGATTACATTCTGCTTCAAAGAGTCCAGAAGTTGTTTAGTGGGTACTCTGTCTTTCTTTTTATACAGTTCACTATGCCCCTGCTGGCACTCTCTGGACATGGAATTCTCCCAGTCTTGAGAGATTTCAGGCAAATATTTCTTTAGAAGTTGTATAATATCCTAATGTCCATGCCTCCGAGCTAAGCAATATAGGGTGTCACTATTAATGTCAGCAACGTTTGGATTGGCATATGCCTCTAACAGAAGGCGCACAACATTAGCATGACTACAAGCAGCAGCCCAGAATATGGGAGGTCTTGCTACAATAGATTTGGCGTTGACATTCACTTGATTTGTTTGGAGAAGTAAGTTAACAATTTATACCTGCCTATTTAAAGCAGCAATCCAGAGTGGCGTCACGCCTCGGATATTTTGGGTATCAGATGGAGTGCCTTTGCAAAGGAGTTGTCTGAGCCTTGCAAGATTACCTGACTCTGCTGCCTTGTAAAGTTGAGCTATCCTAACCAAGTGAGGAGGGTTTACTTGGTTAAGTTTATATGCTAAGAGGCAAAGGACCTCTTCATTCCCACAAGAGGCAGCTGATAATAAAATGTCCTTTGTGATTTACACCTGGTCTCCTCGTTGCTCCAGCAGGAGTGCCATGACTTCCTTTCCATTGTCCTCATTCCTTGCTGCAACCTTGACCACATCTTCAGTGATTTGGACCTTGGTCCTGGTTTCCTCGTTGTTCAAGCAGTAGTCCCATGATCCCCTTTCCATTTGGCTCCCTGCAGCAGTGTTCACCAGTCTTGCGTCAATAGCGACCTCCATGGGCATTCCTTTCAGTAGAGTACCAAAAGTGCAAATGTTTCCATGTCTTGCAGCTTCTTCCAATGGCGTCACACCGTGTAGAGTTTTAAAATCAGAATCGATATAAACATCAGCCCATAAAATTAATTATCAATATTCCACCGCGCTGCTGGATGGAAAATTGAGAATCCAGCAGCCAATTGACTTGATAGGAAAAAATCTAGTTGGGAGTTATAGTGGTATAGCCAATCTTCCCAAGCACAAAATCTAACCTGGAAGAGTTCTATCTGCTTCTGTTTGACCAAAAACTCTTCCCGGGCTAGTCCAGCATATTCAGGCCAATAAAGTACTGAGTATTTTAGAAATTCTCTCCTTGGCTCTGCAGGACTATTATTTATCTGGGGCTGACAGAAGCATATCATATACATAATATACCGATTTACTAGTATAGCATGAGACCTAAGCTCGCTCACTTTTGCTGCCTCCACCAGAAAATCTCTGCCAGATTTGTAGAGAAGCCTCACCTGCTCACCCTGGATAACTATTATTAAGCGACATAAATTAATGACGTCGTCTCTAGTAAACTGTAATCAGCTGTCTTCATCTTTGTCGAGGTATAATTAGCAAGCTTCAGACAATTCTAAGATGATTAGCGGTCGTCGTGCTATCACAACAAAGCTTATTAAATCTATTATTATTGGCTTATTATTCTCGGGAGAAGTGGCAACAGCTGTTTTAAGTAGTCTCTAATATAGAGAATATAGCTCTCGCGGTAGATTTTATAATGTTCTTACTGTATTCCTTGCTTGAACTTGCTCTAATTCATTACAAGCAATGCCCACCTATAGGAATACTCTATCAGCCTTCTCTTCTAGAATGCGCGAAATCTCTGCAGTTACTATTTTGAGATAGCTCTTTCTCATACTTAGTTTGTTAACCCTTTCCTGGATCATTGCTTTCAGATTATCTGCGACCGCAGAGTAGTCGGCCAGGTTCTTACACGGGAAATGTGCTAGGTGCTCTTCAATCTCAGAATATTGTCAGCTTGTGATCAAGAAAGATAGATTGGGCGATAAGTAACGCTTTAGATTACAGCTATTAAATATTTGGTCAAGATAGCGAAGAAGTATCTGCTAGTCCTTATCTTTATATTCATCTAGCGCATCAATTACACAATAGGCGCCTGAACCAGAGATATCTTAGCTTATATCTATTAAGGTTAACTATAGTACATTAAATGGTGTCAATATTTATTCCTTGCCAGTGATATATTTTAGAAGTAAATATTTTATCAAATGCTGATATGTCTGGATCAATTTATAAAGCAGGCCTCGTAGAATGGCAGTTGCGGTCCACTGGTTTTTGGAGCTGGAATCACAGTAAAAGTAGGCGAGCCTCTTGTTTCCACTGATAAAGCCAATTTGGTTTGGAAGTTCCTCCGTTAATGTAATGGCCACAGTCGACTTTCCTGTCCCAGGGTGACTATATAGCCAAAGTATGTTCGTCTCGATTTTAGAGGTATTTTTATGAAGCCCAAGCCAGTGAATCAACTCATCTGTCTCAAGATCCATTTACAAGTACCAGGGGCGCGTTCTCCCTTTCTCCGTTTGAGCGCATTTTTGTCATCAACTGGGTCGGTAATAAACAAACTCTGCAGGCATGCCTTTTCTTCAGCAGTAAGTTCGGTGCCTAGTAGTGGTAAGCCCAGTATTTTGATGGTTTGAAAACAACTATATCACGGCATACTATAACAAATGTTGGCCCAAGCTTTCAGTACCCTATTTGCTGCAAATTATTGTCAGGATTGAGCCTCGTAACGAGGAATCTATATGGTAGATTGACTAAGGGATTGTTAATATTCTATATTATATGTGGTTTAGAGATCTCTGGATAATATTATGGGGTTATATAACTATATAATATTAGTTTAATATAATAATTTTTAATAAAAATCTAAAAACTGGATCAAGAAGTACAGCGTCAAGTAGGATAGGATAGCCCCTCCGTCGGCTACAGTCTAGCCGTGGTTGTCACATTGATAGACATAGTTGATAGTAATCAGACAGCCGTTTTCCCTACGGAACGAGCCACACTTAGAACAGCCGCCAATTTTGCGGATGTTCTGGTAGTCGTTCCACAGGTCGTTACTACAGCCTTGAGTCAGGGAGAGATTGGCTTACCACTCTCCGGGTCACGGACTTGGGTAAGAGTTCCAAGCCAGTCACCAGCGCCAATTCCGGCCGAGTAGGAGTCGCCAATGGCGGCCATTCTTGTGATGAAGGAAAGGTCTGTTGGGTCGAATTCAGTTATATCTCTCATCATCAAGTGCTCGTAGTTCAAGCTTGCATTTCCTAGCACATTCCAATGCGCAAGAGGATTTGCAAGGGCGCGAGTCCCAAGGGTAGCAATGACCGCCAGGCCATGCCATGGTTGCCCCTGCATAGCGAACAGAGGAGGCGAGGAGGCGAGGAGAGGGAGGAGGAAACAGGACCTTTCGGAGATTCAATACTACCCAAACATCAAATGACAGAAGAAACTTCATATATAACCTTGTTCGTGGACTAATAGTAGGGTTGTATAGTGCATCTGTGAGGCTTCGCCTCACGTCTCCTATCCATGAGGACGATACTACTCCTTTCCTCGGTGCTACCCTCGCATCTAGATCGTCCGGCGAAATATGGTCAGGAACCAGAGATCCACCCGTTGTAGTAATTCCATGGGGCGTTTTTTTGATAGCAGATATTGATATTGGCTCATGACTGCGTTATTTGCTGGACTGAGACACAATAACGATCAGTAAACGGTTGAGCCAGTAGCGTCGTGTACCTGTCGCCCTACAAGATAAAGCCGACCCACGAGAGTCGGAAATTAAATCTCTGACCCTGTCAGATTTTTTCACCTAATTGTAGATTCGCCGCCATCCCTGACCCTTTAACTAGTAGTTGCGTCTTAGGGTCATTTGAAACAGCAATCTATACACATATGTTGTGACATGGGCTCTACCCCTGTTTCCTGGGTGCCGGCCACCACTATCTTAAGTCAGCATCTCAGTATAGTAGTATTTAGCCTGATTCCGGGTGCACAACTGCACCGCTGAATACCAGACTCCTTCATGCTTCCAATAATGTACCGCAGTCATGTGTCAATATCTGCCATTTGCACTGGAAAAAGTGGGTCGCCAAGATCTCCGTCACCGAGGGCCAAGAAAACTTTTTATTATCAACTCCTGGATCCAAAGGAACAGTTCAAGAAAATTCTGAACACTAGACTGATACAGGAAATCCTTTATCTCCGAACATACTAAACTTACCGTATATGTCCTAAAATCATAGATGTAAGATCCATCCTTCTAGACCAAATAGTTCGCGATAATTGTGTGTTAGTACACTGATAAATAGGGCTCTGGCTCAAGAACTGGATTGTCACTAAGACTACTTTCCGCTCACAGATTGACTCCTTCCAAACTCGGTTAGTATCACCTGCTGGGAAAAATTCAAACGCTGTGGGCCATTTGAGGGCCATCCAACGTGTTGGCTATAATTAGGTGCTAGATTAGCTGGGCTATAATCCTAAGCTATACAAAGTAATAACTCCGTGGGGGCCGTTCCATCCAGCGCGTTGGCGCCGGAAAGCTGACTTCAAAATAAATACAGCGCTATCTTAGGGCTTACTTTCAAGCAGGGTCTTAAGCGGTGGATCCGGTCCTCTTAGTGTTCCTTGTGTTTAGAGTTTTTCTAAGCAATCATTCAGCCTAATTCTATGTGGTCTTGGCCATCGCCCTGAGCCACACAAAGTAATAACTTCATGTCAAGCAGGCTCAAGCTAGGGGCAAGCTAATAAAAGCTTTCTCCGCCTGCGGTGATGGCATTGGCGAGATGGTGTCAAGCTCTGAATAGCTGCAGCTCCTGCTACACTGAATTAGCCAATGTCTCTATTTCCTGTATACAGTATGGTTGATTAATATTAGTGCTTCATAACGTAGCTTTGATACTGTACTGATTCATAATATGGCTCGGAGCATGAAGCCGTTTCTCGCTTCATCAGGCACCGCCCGACTGGACGGGTATACGGCAAGGGCGCGTTCATAAAATCATAAGATCCCACCGCAATTTCCTATATATGGCCGTATACCGCTAACCTTTTCAGCACTAGCTTGAAGGTATTCCCAAGCTTTTGATGTTAAAGTTTCAATTAGTTTATGTATGGTATGGTCAGAGTAACATGACATCGCGGTGGTTCAGGTCATCTTCTATGCAAGCCAGGGACTGTATTGTTCTGCCGAGGTCTACATACCGATCGCTCACTAACTAAACCCTTGAGCCTGCCTTCGAGTATGCCTTCAAGCAGGCATTATTCGAGCAAGCCTTCTTGGATCCTAATTAGGAAGGAGACCCCCCCCACCTCCTCACCCCTCCAAGGTCTTCGCGCGGCTTCCAAACGCCAGCCGTACCCGTCTAACAAAGCGCCCTTCGAGTTATGACCAGCCGGTGGAAGAATACGGGGCCAAATCAGAAAACCACGCCATAATTCCCGGACTGAGATCCTGGGAGAGCGTTAGAGTGGCGCCGTCCCCTTGGTGCGAGACTGGGCCGTTCGCGAGGCTCTGTGGATCTCCAGGCTTGACCCCAGCTTAGCTGCCTTGGCATTATCTTGACAGTAGTTATCGGGCCCTCTAGCGCTATAATGGGTCGGAATGATTGTTTACTACTATTCGCCACTTTTTTGGTCCATATGCGATCTTTGCCACGTCCAACGGAGGAAGACCCTGAGAGGGAATGCGGCGACCCTGCTGGTCCAGGAACTCTCTCCTAATTGGTTGATATGAGGTCCAGCAACAACGAGCAGCCGCTTGGATTGGAGTCAGCGGTACGTCGAGGACTACCCCGTAAGGTGTACAGCACTTTAGATGAAACGTCCAGAGATTAAGTAACCGACCTCTTATAACTAAGTTAACGGGATCGCACCTGTCAGCCGGAGGATACGGAGGCCATAAGTGAAAATGGCGAAAGGTCTGGCATTCTGAATATCTGCGGAAATGACAATATTTATGCACCTAAAATTGGGGGCCGTCCGAGCGATTCAGACGGAGCGTTTCCGGCGCTGTGCGTGGGCGCTAGTTTAGGGCGAGGCCCTCGGTCAATAGCACCTTGGTGTTACTTTATAGGAAATATATATCAATCTATACGGAGTATGGAGTAGACCTTGTACTATCTTTTAGTCACTTGCTAGTATATGATAATATCTCCTTACCCTAGACCTCAACATGCAATATATACACCGAAGCGAAGCCGAGTTCTATCTTGATATCCCCAAAGGCTCCCGATATCCAACTGCACGATGACTATACGGCTAGAGTAAACAAGGACGAATGTAACCTTTCAAGACATTGCTGTGTCTAGCCCCAGTGTGTGAGGTATTTTGCTCCCGATAATGAGGATATCCAGTATCGAACAATATCCTACGGTAGCAAGACTAGGCGTCTCGCTTGCGCGGTCGTGGTGGTTCCTCTATTTGCGCGTTGAGCCGTCCTGAGCATTGAGCTGGCGGGACCCTTAGTTATAAGGGGTTGGTTATATATTATCTTTATTCTTTTTGTTAAATTTCCTCTGAAGTTCACACTATACAGCCTGTCAATATGGTTCTTCCTGCAGCTCTTACAACATTCTTCTTGCTGCTACGCTACACTTCAGCTACGCCCTCCCGTTTCTCCAGGCGACGAGACTCCTTACCGAGTGATTCCAACTGGCACTGATGCTCCCCAGGCAACTGGCACTGTTTCACCTGAGAACCTTATTGGAACCCGACTCTATGGTTATGTTGACTGCAAAAAGAACTTCGGCGGAGGAGCTAAGGGCAAAATTGACGACGCCTATTATATTACCTTGCTGTCGCTATTGTAGCTTCCGCTTACTTTTAAGCTAGGATTTCCCCTTCATCCCAAAGACAGTTTTAGAGATTGATGGCTATATACCAGTGTTTCGGTCTCATGCTCAATCGATAGCACTGCATACCCCGCGTTATAACAGTGGAACAGCGGCTGACTCGGAGATCCCAAGAGAACAAAATGTTGACGGCCTAATCAAATTGTCAAATCTGAATGCTTTGTATTGGAAGGATATACATAACACCAAGTAGCTTCATGTGCTATGAACCTGCCTTGAAATGAATTCATCGTGGCTTGAGACGATACATCTAGGAGGCAGTATGAAGATATATTCTTGTTTTAACATTGCTGCTATCGTTCTGAAGACGTCAGCATTTCCAAAATTGGTCGAGTTGTCGCTGGAGAATATTCCGCTGTGGGAAGATGTTCCAAGAGCACACTCTTTTTCGGAATTCCTGCCTTTGGTCTTTAAGGCTATGGAACTGCGCTAATGAGCTGGACCTTTCGGTGACTCTGTCACGGCAAAATTTATGCAATGCGCTGAATTACCTGGAAATAGGTTTTGACCATAGTAAAAGAAAGTTAGCATCACTATAATATCTAGAAGAATTTATCACAAGATTAAAGTACCTAATTTCGCTGTCAATCACGAGAAGAACCGACTCGGACTTTTGGCCGAGCGCCGACTACTTAGTGAACATTGTTGCGTCCAGCGGCAAGATAAGACATTGCGGACACGTGCCTAGTAGCCTCAGGCACCACGTCGACAGCCCTTTAAGGGTTCGTAGCCCCGCGCCGGTCTGGGCGTCCTAGAGCTTGACTTGACAAGAGCGTATCTCAGTTTCTGAAGGGCCAAAACAGCTATGACTCTCAGTGATGATATAGGCTCCAGTTCTACATACAGCATACACAAATTCCTCTCCACAAGTACCCATCTTAAGACTAGTAGGCCTTAAAACGTATCATGAAGTTCCTCCACCTGCGTGATATCTTCCACAAACGTAGCGCCATACTCTCTCATGATCTGTATCTTCTCCTCCATATTCATTGCTAAACGTATTCTCCCAAAATCCCTTGGCAGTTGTTCGGCACTCGCAAACCTCAACACCCATACGCCCACTCCATCCGTCGGCCAACCAAACTCCACCACCTTTGCTTCTTCCTCTGTCATCTCCCTCATGTCAAGCTGCACTTCGACCCAATCCTCCCTACTCGGCCACCACGTCGCACCAGTCCGTCGCAGGAGATTACAGAATCTGTCTTCTTCATCGGCACTGGGTGAGCGCAGCGATACATGAGAGCGGGGAAGTGATAGGAAAAGCATATCAACAAGATCAGCTTTTTTTCTAAGAACCCCACCGGTTGAGGGGTAGCCGTAGACAACGCATCCCCAAATACCGAAGACAGTCCGTTCGGTCGTCGATAGAGGAGGGTTTGTAGGGCATGAGCCGTCCGGTTGGTCGTCCGTTACTGTTGGTTGACGAAAAATAGGGAAACGGTCCACATTGATAGGAAGTAAGCGGCCAATGGTTTGTTGGCAAAAAGTAAATAAAAAGGTAGAGATAATAGTAACAAGCATGCTGCTAAACCTCATGTTTCAATAAGACTACAAACAGGAGAAGACCAATGTTAGATATCACGTGACTCGACATCAGAAGCTCATGAGCGTGGTCTGGGGATCGAGCAGATTACCATCTTAATATGTGGGAATTGGGAGAAGCTCCCTTCAACTGATTGGGCAGGAACCTTGACATTACAGGTACAGTCATATAAGATGACCCACTGCAATTTCCAATGTATGGCCATATGCCGCTAACCTTTTCAAAACTAGCATGTATGTATTCCCAAGCTTTTTGACACCAAAGTTTCATTTAGTTTGCGTATGGTATGGTCAGAATTACATGACATTACGGTGGGTTATCTTCTATGTAACTCGAAGCCAGGGACTGTATTGTTCTGCCGAGGTCTACCTACCTATCACTAAATATCAACCAAGAAAATTACAGTATCACGCCTGAATTGGCGTCATGGCGTCTTTTTAGTGCAGTGGTATTCTCCGATACTAAACAATGTCCTTAATGGGGCCCGCTATACGCACAGACGGGGTACCAGTTCCGAAGGGGTCAGGATTTAGTGCGACGGGATCAGGATTCTGAGATACAGTAAGAGCTGCTATCATGTAACCCCGGAGTACAGAGCTCCAGGCAGCTCTAACTGTCTCAGAAACTTTAACTAGATCAGAATTATATAAATTCTGACCCAGTCAGAGCTTTTCTACTCTATTTTAATACTAGATAAATATTTAAAAATTCTGAAAAAATATATTAAATATTAGTCGACTTTGATATTATTTTTTATATATTTTTAAAAAAATTTATATCTATATTATATTAAGTTTAAAATTTTCTAAAAAATCACGTGTATAAGATCTGACTGATTCAGGGTTTCAAAGGTCATGTGAATAGCTCTGAGGCAGCTGGAACTGCCTGTCTCGCCCCACCCTGACCCCTTCGCACTAAATCCTGACCCCTTCGGAGCTGACACCCCCGCACAGACATCCGCTAGCTACACACCGATCGCTTACTAAACCCTTTTAGCCTGCTTTTGAGTAAGCCTTTTGGATCCTAATTAGGAAGGAGATCCCCTCCCTCCTTCTTCCCCTCTAAGGTCTTCGCGCGGCTTCCAAATATCAGCCGTACCCGTCTAACAAAGCGCCCTTCGAGCCATGACCGTGGAGAAATACGAGGCCAAATCAAGAAAACCACACCATAATTTCCGAACTGAGATCCTGAGAAGATGTTAGGGTGGCGCCATCTCCTTGGTGCGAGACTGGGTCGATATCAAATAATTTCCAGCCGAGAACTTCCGACAGCTGTTCACGAGGCTCTGTGGATCTCCAGGCTTGACCCCAGCTTAGCTGCCTTGGCATTATCTTGATATTAATTATTATGCCCTCTAGCGTTATAATAGGTCGGAATAGATTATTTACTATTATTTACCACTTTTCTAGTCTATATGCGATCTTTGCCACGTCCAACGGAGGAAGACCCTGAGAGGGAATACAGAGACCCTGCTGGTCCAGGAACTCTCTCCTAATTAGTTGATATGAGGTCCAGCAATAATGAGCAGCTGCTTGGGACTTTTTGATATCATTGCTCCAATCGCTGTGTTTCGAATATTACGGTGCGCGGTGAATCCGCATATTTCAATTAGGCTGATGTCGGACGTGGACAGGGGCTGTGAACTTGAAATTGGGGACTGTCCAAGCGATCCAGACGGAGTGTTTGCGGCGCTGTGGGTGGGTGCTAGTTTAGGGTGGCTGTCAGGAGGCCTTCGGCCGACAGTACCTTAGTGTTACGTTATATTAATCTATAGACCTTATGCTATCTTTTTAGTCACTTATTAGTATATGATAATATCTTCTTACCCTAGACTTCAACATGCAATATACACACTAAAGCGAAGCTGAGTTTCATCTTGGTATCCCTAAAGGCTCCTAATATCTAACTGCACGATGACTATACGGCTAGAGTAAACAAGAATAAATGTAACCTTTCAAGACATTGCTGTGTCTAGCCCCAATGTATGAGGTATTTTGCTCCCGATAATGAGGATATCCTACGGTAGCAAGACTAGGCGCCTCGCTTGCACAGGCGTGGTGGCTCCCCTATTTGCGCGTTGAGCTGTCCTAAGCATTGAGCCGGTGGGATGTTATAAGGGGTCGGTCATCTATAGCTACAAAAATCCCTTCCAGCATTATATCAAGGTTCGATGCGACGATCCAAGAAAGAAATGCCAAAATCGGCCCGATCAAGATCCATGTCAGCCCAAGTATGTACTGCCACCCTGTATTTCTGTTGATCAGGAATATGTATAAAGTGACTTTACTGATGCATTCCAGACCACCAAACCCGGGCGAGGCGCCAAAGCCAAAGTCAACACCACTTGCATATTCGATGAACTCTGACCCAGACGATTCCGGCTATCCGATGATCAATTTTTGCGGCGGCTTTTTTGCTCGCAGAAGTCTGGCAGACGCAATCACATACGGAAAGGCTCTAGTTAGCCCAAACAATGCAAGACTTGCAAACTATGATAACAGGGCACAAACATTTTTGGTGAGCTGGATTAAATAACTTGACTCTAGTAATCTGGTGTATTAACCAAAGTCGATCAGCATGAGTTATACCATTTAGATCTGGCTGCTGACTCTCCGAACCCTAATCCTCGTGTCGACGATCTCACGATTTCCTTCAAGGTCAACGATAATGATGAAGAAACCAGGACGGTTAAGGCATACGGTCCTTTGGCTACTAAAATATTAGCTCGTTACCAAGGTAAAGGAACAGTGGGCTCTACCGGATACTTTGTTCAGCGAAACTCCGACAATCTGGCATATTACGCATTGGCTAAGTATGTGATGTCGAAAAATGGCAACGTATATCCTCACCTACCAATTGTTACATACAAGCTCGTCGGGCCCCCATATCCGGGTTTACTCGCCACATTCGTTACAGAAGGCAGCAACTTCTACTTGAATACTACCGACGATCTTACGGTTTGGGATTCTTTCCCTGGCGGAGACTATCCAGGTTGTTCTGACAATGAAAATGGGAGCGAACTCGGCTCTCCCCTAACCATTGACGGGTTTGCTCCAGCTTCCACCTACCCAGATGACTATAACAGCAAGTGTCGACTTGGATAGATGCCCTGGGCTCGACAGATGGGGGTTCGAATCCAGGTTCGGGAGGGGACGCCGGCCAGCAGATTGCCATTGCGTCGTATATCAACCCTCTCGGAGACCCGGCTTCGTGGGAACGACTCTTCTCATATGACACTAAGAAGGTCAGTGTATTGGTTGCTAATGTTTTGAACGGTCCAGATTATGTGGTCGATACAGCCTGGAAATCGGTGATTGATCGAGCTTCAAGTCAAGGCAAGAAGATCCTTGGCTATGTTCGGACTGGCTACCTTGGCGTAAGTCAACAGCAATTTACCACTCGACTAGGCTCGAAAGACCTTGCAGATTGGGCTTCGCAAATTGAACAAGATATCGACAAGTGGTTTGAGCTCTATGGCACTAGTCTCGGCGGTATCTTTTTCGATGAAGGCTGGCCAGAATGCGGTCCCAATAATATCTACGCTGATCTGTACGCATATATTAACAAGTATACAAAGAACAAACACCCCGGCGCATTCACAGTACTTAACCCGGGTTCGCCAATAGCTCAATGTTTTGAAAACACTATGGATACGCTGTTAACGTTCGAGAGCAGCTATGAGACTTATACAAGCTCATATGTACCTAATGATTGGACGCCAAAGGATCCCCGAAAGATATGGCATATTATCTACAGAGTCCCACAGAATCAGATTGCGACTGTTGCTGCTCTTGCCTCGAGCCGCCATGCAGGGTTACTGGAAATTACCGATGATGACCAACCCAACCCTTACGATAATCTACCCAGCGAGGCTTATATGCAAGCACTCATCAGCGCCGTACCAGGTGGCACGCCTCCCATCAAAAATTCAGCTAAAGCTACTAGCTCCTATGTTGCTGGTCTTCCAAGCGACGTCGTTGTCTCCTCTTCGGACTATAGCTCCGTCACCCTCACCTGGTCATCAGTCGCGAATGCCCTTGGCTACGCGGTGTATAAGGACGGTGCACTGGTACTGGAACTGCCAGCCTCATTGACCCGAGCTACGGTCGGCATGCTCGACCCCGGATCCTCTGGTATCTCCTTTGAGGTACGGACGGCCTTAGCTTCAGGCAGTGGCGGTGGCTCCTCCCGGACAATCTCGGCGAACACGAAAAGCCTACCGGCCGACGGCCCAATCGCCAATGTTGGCTATACACAGAATGGCGACACCGTTGTCTACAAAGCCGACATCCTGGTGCCTTACGCATTTGTGCGGCTCTTCATCGGCATCAAACAACCCGATGTTGGATTCGGCCGCGGGTGGCCGATTCAGGTGCCAGGCGTGGACCCTCAGGGTGTTGCGCACCACGAGATCGTCAACTACATGGTCGAAGGCAATGACTTTTACTCCGGCTTCTACAAATACAGGGGCGCTTGGTACGAGACCACCACGGCCAATGCGGATTGGACGTGGACCTCTATCGGTGTCGCGCCTCAATCCCAGAGTGGTTACACGTATACGTGGAACGTCCCGTTCGCCGGCACCGACGCTGTAGCCAGCGAATATGTAATACAAGGCCAAGGGTACGCCCCGATTAAGAATGTCTTTATGGGAAGCCTTCGTGAGTATCGTGTTGTCTGACCGATAGCTAAGAAATATATAGCGAAAGGTTGGACAAGCTAGTTCAAGTCTTCTTAAATAGTGGGCGGCAAAAAGAATAGCAAGGCTGGTACTTTGTATACTAGTTATTTTTATCCAGCGCTGGGTGCTAGAGCCTAGAGCTTGGCCTTATTTACTCTATATTTGATACTGTAGCTAGCATTCCAGGCTGTGATACTATATAGATAAAGCATCTTCGCTTACCTATAAATCAGCTCAAGAATAAATAATCTTCTGCATCGCAGCGTCATGGTTCAAAAGGCGACATGACACGGTTCAATATTAAGTGCCGCTCCCTTGATTATGACGGGATCAAGTTCGGAAAGGCTGGAGTCTTTTTACGTATTGCAAAGCTCCGCGGCTCACGATCAATCGAGAACGTGGAAGCCTTTCCTCTCCATTACCGTCCGAATCACGAGCGAGTGAGTTTCTTTTTTGATGAACCAGGCTTTCGATAAACTGACCACCTAAAAGGACTCGAAGGTCATAGAACTAGCTTGTCGAAATGATACAGACCGGCACACCTTGTTCCCGACTCAAAACACCGTGTACGACCGGCACAAGCGCAGTCATGGCCTGCATCCACTTTGGACTTTTACGATAGACTTTCGACAGGTCATCGCTGTCAATGCATATGTTGACCCGATTTGGGGCCAATTTGCCCTCCGTGCGTTGGAGTTTGTCTGCAAAGATAGAGCGCACCTACTTGGGCCACCGACTAGTAATGACTTTAAACTCTCGTTTCCTCTGCTCCCCGAGGAGTTTCTTACCACTCTGTCCGTTGGAAGTGGCTCGGACGATAGCCATTTAGCGCTAACTGTAAGTTCACCATAGTTTACGGCATCATGCGTTACCTGACAGTGTTAGTTTACCACGAGCAGAAATCGTTCCGTGACTTTCGGTGACCCGTGTGCGGTAGTATCACATTCAGTGGCTAACGTAGCTTGAATTGCGATAAGAAAGGTAGGACATTCAATAATATTATTTAGCGAAACTTGCTCACTGAGGAAGTCTTTCCTGGACAAACACATGTCGGTGCTGGGAATATTTCAAAGCCCTCAATACCCAGTTGTGTATCCGCTCCGAGGCGGAGTGGCCATGAAAGAATGCCAGTACTGGACTTCAACAGTGGATTTCAACAGCTCCCCATCCATGGCTTTACAGTCAACTGCGCCCCTTACTGCGATCTCTATGATACAAGCTTCATAGTATTCTGAACTAGACTGAGCCACTGGTTGATAATCTCCGGATTCTCACATTTTGCACGCTCAATTCTAGTTCTTTATTAGGTAGCGTAGCGCTTAGCTCAGCCATTACACAACCCTGCATTAACACGGACGAGAGGGGGTAAGGGGCATCTGATGTCTTGGGTGACCCAAGATATTCCCGCAGTTCCTGCTGTGAATTTCTACTTTTTAGACCCGAGCTCCCCGATGACGCTGGAAATAGTGTCGCCGGTCCACTGATTCCGGCCACGGCCCACGCTCACTCGCCCACGTACCCCTTCACCAGGTGCCTGGCACTTAGGACTTGAGGGGAACCGCGGGTTGTCGTATTTATATGAAGGGTTGAGCCTTAGGGGGGGGGGGGGGGGGGCGTTATTTGGGTGGGCTCATTTGTTCCGAGCAGTTTATAATATCCTCGTTGTCATGAAACAATCAAGGAACGACCTGGACAGCCATTAGCACATATACTGTATATCGCTGGACAAATGGCATACAGTTGACTCAGGAATATTATAAGGTGTTGCTGCCTCCCCGTAGTCTTCCTGTTAGTTTAACGTAAAATCGATATGTTTGACCCTCTTATTCTCAGTGAATGTAACCCACATACGACAGATTAAAGTATCGTGCGATGAGCTAAACTGATGCAAATGGTCTCCGCCAGCACGACCGAGGATTTCAGAGCAGCCAAAGAGATAAAAGATCCAAAAACAGAGGCACGCTTAAGAAGACTGCCCATTGACATATCCCGGTGTCCCACTTCAAAAGGTGACTACGCCGCTGGCACGTAGCCAATTGAAGCCTCGTGGACCCTGTCAGGGTTATCAGATCCCTGTCCGATGGTACTAAAGAGCCTCGAGGGAATCGATACATAAGCCCACCATGCCTAGCTAGTGGTGTAGGACTGCCCAGAGATAAGCAGATCCTGCCCACAATCATGACATCCCAACTTCCTCAGATACAAGAGTCTTTCAGAGTTTTGTATGGAGAGCTTAAATTTATTTTCAGCAACTGGTGCTCCCTTGAGGCACCCAGGCGGGTTCTCCACCGCCTGGTCTCTATTCTTGCGCCTTCTGCGCCTCCTGCGTTTCTCTGCACTCCCACCCCCGGACAGTGAGTATTCTTACTGGATGATCCGTCCAGACCAGCTCCACCCACAATGCGTCCAACACGGCTAAGCATATGCATTTGATCGGTCGACAAAGAGTCAAGTCGATTGTCGAGCATCCCATCGTCGACGGGCTTGAGGGCTAACTCTGGAACCCACTAATAATAACCTGTCGTACTTATCATTGGATAAGTAGTTGTTCGCATACACAAGCTGGTGGTCTTGGCTGCTCTTCATAGCCACAAAAGAATACTGCCGGCAGGATCGGCCGCAACGAGGATTGCATTGGTTGGTTGGTCAGGACGTCTTACGGTTCCCTTTCCCCTTGCCGTTTTGTGGTTTCATTTTTTGGACAAAATAGAGGGTACGATATTGTGACAGTATAATTTAGATGTTTGTTGACATACCTAAAACTTCTAGCGTTCCCAGAGAATTATATTGCGCAAAATAATTAGTTCCCTTTTTGTTGAGCTGCCCGAAGATATTAGTTGTGTTTAGTAAGCGAAGACAAGCACGTGATGCACGTGATGTTGCTAAGGTGCTCCCTCCGAAGACTCCGTCGAGACGGATTAACTATAATCCATATTCACGTGGCCTTTAGACGTTGAATAGGATCGTCGACCTGGATTAGTCAACCTATCAACCACTCACATCAACAGTTAATAGAACCGTGTCTGTTCATCAAACCAAAAAGAAAGGTCAATGTCGGATCGAGCACCTACTATATCTGTACTACCGGATCTTTTGAATTTCTACTCCATGTCGTCAATCAGGTGCCAAAAGTTCCTACAACTATTATAAGATGTCTCAATACGCAAGACCTGACACCAGCAAAGCGAGTCCCATCGGAGGGAAGCTGAATACATTTCGGGAAAGCTTTAAAGCCACATGCGAGGAGCTGGGACTGACTGCGAGTTTGGATGCTATAAGTCAATTTGATAATGAAGGTAAAAATCTACTACTTAGCTTTATGGTACCGCGTTCTGATCGCTTTCAGATCTTCAGAATTTAGTGCTCGACTTAGTGTCAGCATTGCGAGCCATCCCAGATATGCGAAAACTCCCGTCCGCTAATGGTCGTAAATACCTCCTGAGCGACCTTCTTAGACTGAACGCCGTGATTAGTTCCGATGATTTCGTGGTCGAACGTTTCATTCCTTTATTGAGAGCAGTTTTAAACCAAGAATCGGAGGATCACATCTGGGATAGCATATACTCTACTGTCCGTGAATCTACGCCCCCCCCAAAACTGGTGCCTTTCCTCAATCAGACACCATTTTTGCACACCACGAGCAGCATCGTTAACTCGCCCGAACACCGAAAACATGTGGACACTGTGTTGAAGGCGGAACTGGGGTCTATCTTTCTCGATGTGCCGAATTTTTTTGAGGCCTTTTTTAACTCCGTAAACGGGCATGAGACAACATGTACTACTCTTTTGCAGCGATGCAAGACAGGGGATAATCCATTGTATTGTGATGGGATTGGCTGGTGCGATTGGCCCGCTAACGCTCAAGAGAAGGAAGTCCTGAAGTGGATAAGTGGAAAGTTCGATCTGGTTAGAAGCTTCGTCGCGGAACAAAATCCCAGTGCTTCTCTGTGCAGAACTGTCTTAGCCCAGCCAGCACAGCCACTACAAGGCTCTACAGCCGCCCGGAAACTGGATATCGCGATAGTCAGCAACTCGGAAACTATTCCCGGGCAAATACCTCATTGGTCACGTATTCTGGTTCCTGGAGAATTGAAAAGTAATCCAGAAGCTGATACAGTCTCAAAAACATGGCGCGACTTGGGTAGATATGTGCGGGAAGTATTCACTACACAAGACACGCGTCGGTTTGTGCTAGGTTTCACTCTCTGTGGATCCATTATGCGATTGTGGGAGTTTGATAGGGTGGGGGCCACTGCATCCGAGCCATTTGATATCAACAAGAATGGGCTGAAGTTTATATCGGTAGTTACCGGCTACCTATTATTGGATAACGAGCAGCTAGGATATGACCCCACTATTATGTGCTCTTCAGATGGGACGCGCACTATCGAGGTTATACGTCATGGGCAACCAGAACGCCTTATCCTTGATGAGCTTATGAAAAGGAGTCCCTGTGTTGCTGGCAGAGCTACAACTTGTTGGAAAGCCCACCGTGCAGGGGGTGAAGCGAATATCCCCCTTGTGGTTAAAGACTCTTGGCAGTATCCTGTGCGGGATGAAGAAGGCGTGCTACTTCGGAAAGCTTTGGAAGGGGGAGTTACTAATGTCGCGAGGTACTACTCTCATCAGACTGTCGAAGTGGGAGGGAAAATCGACGATGTACTCAGAAATATCCGTGGAGAACTTGATTTGATAAGAGCTAAGCATCATAGGCCAGCATGCCTTCGGGATGAAGGAATTATAAGGAATGGCCGTTCTATCGGTAGTATGGCTGGTCGAAAAAGATCTTCCAGCCGTACCGGCACTGAAATACCACCACCTAAGAAACGCACCTGTTCGAGTTCCCCGAGCAAAGATAGAGGGAACCTCGACGAACAGAATCGAGTACACCGTCGCGTGATTATCCATGATTACGGCAAACCACTTTATAAAGCTAGCTCTCTTGTTGCCATGCTTACTGCCTTCGACCGTTGCATGGTGGGCTATCATTCGCTGTATACTAAAACAGGGCTTCTACAGGGAGATATATCTACTGGTAACCTCATGATGAACGAAGACGATGATAATCCTTCTTGGCCTGCATTCCTCATCGATTTAGATCTTGCAGTTCAAGAGAGACGCGACCGGCCTTCAGGAGCATGGGGTAAAACGGGAACGAGAGCTTTCATGCCCATAGGGCAGTTACTAGGCGACAAGTTGTCCTGGGTACATGGACTAGAATCCTTTTTCTGGGTACTCTTCTGGATTTGTATCCACTACGAAGGTCCTAATGAGAAGAGCTTGGTTATCAGGGAATACGACGAGTGGAATTATGTGAGCATGGAAGAGTTAGCCAAGCTCAAACTAGGAACTGTTTCGGACGATCACATTTTTGAAAGCACCATGGACAAGTTTACAGAATATCATAAGCCACTGAAGCCGTGTGTTGATGAGCTACGAAAGGCCGTATTTCCGAATGGCAAGATACGAAGGAAAGGAGATGAGAGCCTTCTCTCTCAGATGCGTGAAATAGTACAAAAGGCACAAGATGCTTTACAGGAAGCGTCTTTATAACATACAACTTCTGTCAGGGTTGAAGCCTTGTACTAATTAGTTTTCCAAAGGAAATACGGAAAAAGGGCTACTGAGAGCTTCATGGCCGGGTTGTAGATCAGTTTTGTCTGCCTGGCCTGCAGCAGTGGTAGCTTGAATGGCCACTGCACGAATTCCTCCGAATAACGGCTCACCTGGTCATAATGCTCTCTTGCAGGGGCCGAAGAGGAACGGAAACGGACTGAAGGGGAACTAAACGGGAAAAAGGGCGCAACTACCGACCATCCTTTGGATTCTATTCGAGTGGACCACAAATTGGTCCCAAGTTGGCTGTGCCCCTTCGGATACGACAAATCCTACAGGCCCGATGTCGAAACACTCTCGGACTCTTGATTCAAGCCACGCAATGCCAGAATGAAAGCGAGGGTTCACTAAGGTCACACCATTGTAATCCTTGGACGGTCAACACGACATTGACAATCTGGACCACCACTGCCCGACCCGACCGTGGAGCTGCCCCCACAAGGCCAAGACATCAGCCAGCACGTCACCGATGTGAAACTTTGGTAGAGCTTATATTACAGCTGCTGGATGCACGCCGTTCGGGCTTATGGAGCTTCTAGGGCACTGTTTACGATCACGGCATACTAGCCAGCAATGAAAAAGCTTTGGAACGATGTCTAGATTTGATTTTAAGTTAGACCAGGGAGAGATGGTATTAGTAAATATATGAATCCATGAACTAGGTCCCCGGAAATGTTAGTAGTGAGTAATGAATAGACGAATATCAATATTTACCCTACTAGAATTGACAGTATATCTTGCACATAGCTCTCAAGCAAATATCTTTCCACAGGTCGACCATCTGGTACCGTTGAGCGGCCTTTTCAAGGTGAAGTTGAGCAAAACCCTCTACCTTCCGTGAACAAGCTGGACAAAGGCAGGTCCATCTTATCTCCGATGATCATCTGACTAAGGGATGAGTCAGCATACAGAGTTGGGCATCCACCCCGCCTTAGTGTCAATACAATTTGGTCTTGCCCCTCCAGTAGTTTTCACGCGAACAGTCTTTTACCCAGGAACCCCCGATCAGGATAACTGAGGTAAGCTACGAAGAGAGAGGTGAGTAGAATGCGTTCAATTTTCGGAATTAGGAGACTGAGCTTTTACACTATCAGTAGATGGCCCTGCTGTCAACAACCAGCTGATACTGACTGGATACTGGACGTTCTCGACGAGCTAGATAACGCGCAAATGGATGCCCTGGCCTCTTTTCTCGAACGAGCAAGCTGGACAGAAGACGGCGAAAATCTGTATTTTTGCAATGACACAAACCTAGAACCCATGTTGATAAAGGCTGCAAATGATCTTCCAGACTATCTTCGTGGCTACGGATTTCAGGCTTGGAAGGTTCTGGGAAGAACGAGGATACAGGCAACGAATGGATACATCATTCCTATAACTATAATTTCCAGCCAACCCCGCCTATTATCCGAAGTATCACAGCCGCTTCTGCTTCCGCGATCTCCGGTGCGCTTTGATAAGGAGCCTCTGATTACGCCAGCACTATACCTGATTCTCGCACTCCCTCCCGCATGATAATTGTTAATAAAATCAATTCAAGCGCTTGAAACGTCAAAATACTGGCTAGGCTGTGGGTGATGTACACCTTCCCCGGGTTGCAATACCTGCTGTTCTGTTTGCGACGAACATGAGGGCGGGTTGGTCAAGTTCTGGAATGGGAAGACCTGCGGGTAGTTCATTGGAAGTATTGTTGATGCTGGCTGATGAGGGAAGACTTGCGGGTGATTAGTTGGCGTCATTGTAGCTGCCATGGGCAACGGGAAGACTTGAGGGTAGTTTGTTGGCGTCATGGTTATAAAGGTCGGAGGGTCAGCCCCTGTCATATTGCAATTGTATTGAGACGTATTCGAGATTATTGAATCCATATCGTGTTCCCGTTGTCTGTTAATATACGCCTGCTGCATAGAACAACGCATCCCTGTTAAAATGGGATCCCCATTTGGCGATAGACGGGCACCATAAGGCGCTGTGTTTTGCGCAATTCCCTGAGTCTCTACTCCTTGATGACTTGTGGGCATTGTAGCTTGATAATACCTTGAGGTTTGGTTCGCATTTGGCTGAGAATTTGTTTCAGACGGGAATGGCTGGTTCTCTTTAAAATCGTCAGTTACTCTATTCCCTGCTAATATAAAGTATCCATACCGTAGACTCCACTCTTTTCCAATGTATGTGACGAATGCTGTGCTGCATTATGACCATTTGCGTATTCACTTCGCTGCATTTGAGGCGTACTTGAATGTTGTGCCTGTGAGAGTCCATGCTCTAGGACTATTTGTAATAAGCCTTGGAGGGGTGTAAAAATGCTGTCGATTTCCGCATTTGCGGAGGCATGCAGACCTCTATGCAGTGCTTCAACATCGATACCTTCTCGCTTCAAACGCTCTAGCATTAAGATCCTGTTCGGTTTGTGTGCTGACTTTGGGACATCTTTCGTCCATCTATATGACGGTTAAAAGCTAGACACCAGCGAATGTGTAGAACCTACAAAGATTTACTGCCATAATCAGGGAGGATGTACAATACTCCCAAACCGCCGAGATCTTTCGCTAGTAACTCGTACCTCTCTCCGTAGCTGACCCATCCCCGAACCCTGTTGCGAACCACATCAAGTGAGTCGCTACTGGAGCCGTGGTTCCGTATAACTTGTGCTATAAATTCGGCAGCGCTAAAATACTGATATTGACTTCCTGGCTCTACCCACTGCTTCAATCGGTAAAACATGACATAAAGAAACCTGAGGCGGATCTTATATAGATCATGCTGCCTCTCATGGTCAACCGTCAACTGATACCACTCGGCAAGGGAGTTACCAGGATTGCTTGTGGATGGACGTAGCGTCCCAAGGCTATCCTGGGGCCCGTGGGTATGTCCTCCGTCTTGTACCGGCTGTATCGCCGGGAACAAAGTTTCGCGCTTATCTACTAAGTCTTGCACGACTTGCGAGATACCAACTCGGCTGAGAGGACGTGCAACAGTTCTCTTGATGGCAGACTCGCGGGAGGGCCCACGTATGTCTTTGGGGATATGTCGGCAGACGCTCTTTACGGCTTTAATGATAGTCTAAAGGAGGCAAAAATTAGCGCACGAGTTGGAAACAGGGAGGAGTGAATACCTTGTCTTTCCAGTCCCAGGAGGAACTATCCAGCCGAGTCTTACCCTCAGTTTCTGCACGCTGACAGGCAACCAGTACATTTTGAGCCAGTTGTTTACTCTCGACGACACCCATAGAGTCGATGATATTATGGTGTTGTATGATAGAGCGCTTGGAAATGAGTGGGGTCACCGAAGAGTGGAGAGCTCGGCGGGCATTTGATATGGAAGGCGATGGAGCCAGCCCGTCGGTCGAATGATGTTCCGGTATTCCGGTAGTACGGCTGGCACCCAAACTTTGACAATAACAACATGGGTTATTAATTCGCACCATGCTTAGTTAACTAGCTATAACTCGTTTATCCACGGATTTCTTCTTATCTGACTAGCAATACTTATGTGGCGAATCACATGACTGGTGACCATCTTAGGTCCCTCTCAATGAAGAAAAATAAAAGAGAAAAAGAAAACATCCTATTCCTGTTACTTCTTCAGAATACATGCCCCAGAGTCAAAACTTAATCTTGTCAGAATCCTACGCGGATATTCTATTCAACACATGTTTTCTCTTTTGAGACCAGTATAGCCAATTCCTTGCCGCAGTTCTCTCTTATGTCATGAATGATTTTGCGGGAGTGTACCTGGTGGGTTTGCGATTAAACACTCAAGAGAATTCGTAAATACTACTATTCTCAATTTAGCTATCTAAGCCTTAGTCTGTCAAGTAGGGGTATGGTGGGATTGTACGTACTCATAATAACATTCCCATGTGCGATGAATCTTGCCTTCCTTGTAGTCTGCCGCCTAGTCATACAGTTAGCCTCTAAAAGCAATAACAAAGTCTTATTCATCCATACAAGAGCATCAACAAAATAGTCCACCAATTCATCTTCCTCTTCCAGCCATTGCCGTTGGCGAGTTGTGATTGAGTCATACGAGAAGGTTTGGGCACGATCGAAATCAATCCAGAGAACCCTGTCTGAGCTTTCCTGAACCATCATATTTCGTGGAAATGGGTCTCCGTGATAGATTCCAGCTCTATGTATCTCTGAGAGAATCTGACGGAGTTTGTGTACCCTTTCCATTGAGAAAGTAGATAGGTCGATCTGCTGAAGATTCGGTACGTATTCAAGCAAAACAGCGTTGGGAGGTAAACGATCTTCGAGAAACTCTTGTAAGTGTGGTGACCATTCCATGGGGTTGATTTGTTTTATCAGGCCATAGAAATCAGGGACATATCCTTCGTCGCATAGGCCATGGGCCTTCAGTCGAGTATAGGCTTTGCTTTCGCATCTAAAGATGTCGACTTCGCGGTCTGTGGGGTCGGCGTGAGATGCTTCAATACTGTGGTACTAGGGACATATCAGATACTGGTGGAGGTTAGGAAGACTACCCGGTCGCGTACCACTTTCATAATACAGTCTCTACCGCGCCAACGTGTGCGGAAAATACATGAGGACCCAGAGCTCCTAATCTGTCCAACGTACTCTATCGCCGATAAATTGATTTCCATGGTGTTCGCGATAATCGGACCACAATTTGAGTTACGCAAAGGCCATGAGACACAATAATCTTTTAAGGGATGCGCGAATATGATGTTGGACTCAAGCTGCGCTTGCACTATGCCTATTCTGGGAATGAACCCATGCAAAGCAAGTACAAACCACACTAAATGATTTTCGAATTATTATGAGGGGGCCTAGGCACCGCTCGGACCATCAATGCCCAAACAACTATTTACAAATTATGTTATTTACATGATACCCGGTTTCGCAATTTTACATTCATCAATACTATCCAATTATAGATGCAGTTATTCGTATCGCCCAGCACGGCTTTAGACAATGCGAGCAACACAGTCAATGAACAGACATCCCTCGAGGACAGAATATAAATTAAAGATACGGCCACTTTAACATGGACAGTTACGTACGAGACTCTTTTCTTCCTTACTATTCTCAATACATCCCATTACGCAACATGGCGAATCAAGTCAGTCTTCTTGCTTATCTGCAACATGGCCCACCAAGAATACCGATCATTGAACAAGGGCAATCGACGGATAACACCACGAACCCAAAATACTCCGCGGATGATATCACATATGTTGGGCATTGGGCAACTTTCAACTTGAACACGATTTTGCATCAGCATCAGGCTGTACTCACAAACAGTCGGCGAGAAGATGAGGCGATGCCCTTATCACCTCCGCAAGCGATCAACTCGGAGCCAGGTCTTCGGCAACGTTTCTCATTCTATATGAACCAAAGGGTCCGCAGGGCTCTCCGTAGTGGCTTTGACTTTTTGACAACGAACAACCAGTTGGCCAACCGTACTGTTGTGGATTTCGGAGAAGGAAACTTGGCGCAACTCATCGAGCAGTTCACACCCGATACCGCATACTACGATCCACTTCTCCCGGCCCCGACGAGACCGAACCGAGTTCCAGGAGATCTGAAGCCCTCTTTTAAATGGTCTCTCGCTCTGCGGAACAGCCCAACTCCATATGGAAGAAAGCAGTTCAAACAAGCCCTGGCCCAAGTCAACTATTATATGAAGCAGCATGAGACTCATTTTGGATTTATCCTCACTGATCGTGAGCTTGTCGCAATTCGACGCCTCGATCGTAACGGAAGGTTGGAGTTATCTGATTCCGTTCCATGGATTACCAAAGGAAGTGAAAGCCAGCTGCGCCTTACGGTATTGCTCGCCTTGTGGTACTTGGGGATGCTTGCGTCGGATAACCTACAATGGCATTTACCTTAGAATCCAACAGCAGATTGACTTAGCCAGAATTTCCGAGATGATTCGATCATCTTCCGCCAATTCTCCTTTACTTGTCCACGCGCTTCCCTTTGCTTTGTGTTTCTTTGGAAATTATCATCAGAGACTAGCTGCTTCAACATCAGTATAGGGGCGGGTGCTTGAACCATCAACTGGTCAAGCTGTGTCTTAAGTGCTGTGTGTATATTTTTATTTTAGGAACTTAATATCATTCGTGATAAATACTATAAAAGAAAAGGTATGTGCGGTATTATATTCAAAAACCTCTTTCGGGCCGTGTCTGGACATCTAAGGTACCTTGAAAATGTAGAGCCAATGCTAACAAACTGGTTACAAAACCTGTCCTCCAATAGTTGTTCATACCGGGCAGTTGAATGAAAGAACGCAGTGCCTGTCACAGTGGGCCTGCATGGGGTCCATGCAGTGGCTCTGGCATATGGTCATCTTGCTGACGTTGTAGCCCAAGATTCCGCTAGGTGGGGGCAGCTAAACCAATTTCTGAATAGGTCTTCTGGACAGAAAACCTATTCAGAAATGGGTTTAATTCGCCCCCACCCACTTACTTTACCAACAATTTCTGGGTTCATATCGAACATTGGCAAGCCAACCGACTTAGGCAGGTAGGATTGGTTATCAAGAAGTTTGGGCTTGCTTTGCGTGCATTATGCTGCAAAAAGATGTGGCATTTTAGATCTGACATATAACCATTTTGGTATGTAGTGACGAGCTGGTATACCGATTAGGTCATCTATAATCAATAACCAAACTAGACAACTGAAAACTGACCTATAAACTTCCTGCAGTGATGGCGTTTAAACAGAAGCACCGTTCGAAGCAATTACGTCTCAGCTCAATAATTACAGACTAGCCAGTACTTTACGTCCTATAGTTTTAGTCTATAGCGACAACCGGCTATATGACTAGTCTAAGCTATGTGTTGTTATCTGCATGATGGGCGTACTTAACCGTACTATGTTGCCTCGTCAGTGCACAGTTTGGTTTTCTATGCGTCCCAGTCTTTCTAAACTCCTTTATTACCGTCTATAGCTATGCATCCCCTTCTTGCCTCTATATCGCCTTATTTCGGTTGTCTCGGCTGGCAACGGAAAGCCACCAACGCAGCTTCTCAAGGTCTGTAGGTATATCGCTGGTATAAAGATAGTATACTCATCGGTTGATAGATCCGTTGTGCTCTATCCTAGATGACAGGAAATACCGAATAAATAGATGCCCCGGATTTCGAAGATATTATATAAAACAGTAAGTTGATAACAGCTATAAAATTGTGTGCCAAGTAAGTATATACAATTTCAATGAAGGAGGACAAATATTTACTATCTTTTGGACTGAGACGTTTAATATAGAAGAAAGAAAGCTGCGTAAGTCCGAGCGTGGCCGAGAGTTACTGGAAGATTATGATATTTGCAAGCAATCCAATTGTTGATCTTCTTTTCTTTCTTTTCCCTGTATCTTTCTATCCTATGAGCTTTCTATGACCACACTTAACGCGGCGGCAGATATATATATTCCGAGCATTGATTATCCTATTTTACTTTTATCATCTCTTGATTGTTATTTCCTGTCCCATCGCAACATGTGTTTTATACAAATTGCTATTCACAAGTCATACGGCAAGAAGTACGAAGGCCTGATTTCTTGTGGCCCAGTTTTCTGTATATCTGATAAATACAACGTAACACGAATCCAATATCTTACTTCCCCATACAGGAAGTGTAATCTTTGCATTACTAAAGAGGAATACTATTACAAATAAGGTTGGTTTTACGATCTATAATTAAATAGATATATAATTCTAATGTATAAAGATCAATGCGAAAATACTGTTATTTATATAAAAGAGATAGTCGAGCGATTGAAGGAATAACAGAGATTCAGGAGTTTATATAGTAAAAGGTAGTAAGTAAATCAGAGACTCGGCTTTTCTATGGCTGTTGTGTGATATCTATAAGTATATTCTGTGATTAGGGTGTACTGGATTATATCGACTAGGTGTATAGTGGAAGCTGTAGCAGAGCTTACGGATTTACTTATAGAATCCGGCTATCGGGCGATAAGTATGGCTGTGATAGTTTTTACTCTATATAAGTACTATAATCTCTTGTGTATATCTTGTTCTATATCTCTGTACTTACTTTCTATATTATATTTTGGAATAAAAGTTATTATAGAAGTATCAAGACTCGAATATATTATCCTCGATATCAATCTCTCTCTTTTCTATATCACAAGGTATCCCGGATACAAATTCTTACTCGAGGGACTTATCTGTTCCTTGCGGATTAATATTATTATATTTGATAAATATATACCAGTCTATTCTATACTTCTTCTCCAGTATTCTACTCGTGACGGCCACTCCGGATACTGGAAACTGTCTGGTAGCAAGATCAACTATAACAACAAAACTTTACATAAAGCTACTAAACAGGAGGTTGAGAAAAAGACTAATATAACTCAATTCGAGTTCCTTAATACTGTCCCAACTAAGACAAGAGACAGTTTAAAGAACAAGAGAGTATATCAATATCTTGATTTTATATTTCTTGCGACTGTTGATAGACAGTCTAGCTGGCTAAAAAATATATATTCAGCGGAAGAAAAGTACCGAGTTTTGAAGTAGATTACGAAAAGTAATATATTAAGAATAAAAAAAATAGTATTCTATAGTAATTATCTGGAGACTATTCTCAGAATATTTAATATTATAGAGAATATAATTGATATAAGCTAATATATATTATCTACTGCTATCCACCACAAGCTTAAATAGTTAAATAGAATATCGATCTACATAGAGAAAGATTATAGATATAGAAAGAATTAATATTGATAGTATACTATAGTCTAGATTAACTTTTCTGAGCAGAAATCTATTTATCTATTAAATATTGTTTTATTTTTCTTGGATAATAAACAAAAGAGCTAAATATAGTTATATAATAACTGTAGATCTATTTTTTTTTCTTTTTATTATTTTAATTAGCTTTAAAGCGAACTATTCTTAAAGTCTTGAAATACAGTTTAGCTTAAGTTTTATTAGATATTATATCTAATAATTTATAAAAGATCGGACTTATCACTACTTAATTATCTATCTAATTCTTTATTTTCTTTCAATTCTATAATAGTCTATTAAAATTTATCTATATTCTTGTAGCTTCAAGATATAATCTCTTTACTTAATAGTTATAGAAACTCCTAATACCACTAGAAATAGAGCTATATAGAGTCGGATATTATTTCTATTTCTTATTAATCTTTCTATTAATCCTATATTTTGTCAATATATAAAAGATATCTTACAACTATATAATATATATATATATTGATTAAAATCAATAATATTCAGGGTACAGCTGCAGTTTTATAAGAAATAGATAAAACTGGACTTGTAGATATATAGAATAAATTATTTTTAAAAATAGAACTCTCTAATTATACTATTATAATAATAGATTATTATAGTACTGTAATTAATTTTTAGAAATAAATTAATCTCTGCTAGTTAATACTTAGTTAGTATATTCTAGATAATCTTAATAATTATATTTCTTCTCCAGTCTTTATAGATAGATTATTAAAGTACTTAAAAAAGTATATTATATAAATATATAATTATCTGGAAAAGTTTGATTTGATTAATTATAAAATAGATATCTAGAAAGAGAAAATTTTAGACAGTATAATCTTAATATATAGAGTTATATATTTTTAGCTAAAAATAAAAATAATATAGTCTTTGGCCGCGGCTTAGATAAATTAGTAAAAAGAAAAAAGAATTATATAATAATAGTATATAGAAGAGCTATCGAGTATCTTTTTTATATATACTCTATAACTAGACTGAATAGAAAGAAATAATTTAACAATTGAGAAGACTGGGGAATAAGTAAGCTGGGGTATCTACGGGCTTATACAGTTTAGGATTTGATAAGATAGGAGAATAGTGCAGATATAGCTAAATAAACATTTTGAATTATAAGAGGCTACTCATTCTATTGCCTTTGAATCTATGTTCCACTAATTAAGAGGCTATTGTATGTCTCTATAATCTTATAAAAGAGTTTATAAAGCAATAGTATTTTACTATATTATAATATAAGTTAATTCAGACAAGACTGTATATTTCTATATTTATTATTTCTATCTATAAGTTAGAAAGTACTCTACCCTTTATATTGTTGATAGCTATAAAAATGTGTATCAAAAGTCTCGATATAGTCTCAGAATTTATATATCAATTACTTTCTATATTAGAATCTTAAAGAAAATTACTATTCTATAGTACCTATATAATATATTAGATACAGAGTAAGATATATAAATACCGGCAAATATAGACTTTATCTATATTTTCAATTCTTTTATTAAATACTTAAATTGTTATATATATTACAATACTATTGATCCCCTATATTTACAATAGAGCTATTTCTCGGTAACTTACTCAGATAAATCGATAATACCGACTATCTTATAATCCTGTATAAGATAGAATTATCTAGATATACTTTCTTTAAAGATATTTCTATACTATTAAAAAGAGATATAAATCTCCTCAAAGCAGTATATCAACAAAAGAAATTGAAGACTTACAGAAACTTTACTATATAATAGAATCCCGACTCTCAGTTCTCTACTTTAGCTCATAGATATATATATTCAAAGACAACAGTAGATATCACAATAGAAATTTACTTAGGATAATAGCTGACTGCACTAATTATTACTTATCTATATTATAAAAATTCTAAATCGGGATTTCTTAAAACTGAGAATTATATATTACAAAGCCAAAAACAAGTCTATCAATAAATCTATCTATAAGTCTATCAAGAACCAGTCGGAAATCTTTGTAATTGAAATATTAAGTAATAAGAAATATAGACTAATAATAATATTTCAACTACTAGATAAACTACTTTATAATAATAACAGCTTCTTTGAGATCTATCCTAATT